AATTGCGTAAAGAGTCAAGATTGGAGTTCATGTGCTCATTCCAGGAGGGTTGCTTCAAATTTCAGACAGGAGATCAGAAAACTTGTGTCGTCAACTTTACTGGTAGTCTATAAGTTTATCAAAAGTTTATAGTGGATCTTTGGTTGGCAAAGTGCCCAGAGTTTTTCCCACGTTGAGTTTCTCCGTGAACAATTCTGGTGTTGTTTACTGCTGTCCTTACTATTTTGATATTACTATGGTCTTCAAAGATAGGACTAATTGAATTATTTGACTAATCACCTAGACATAATTAACTTGTGACTTGTTGCTTGTTGATTAAAGTTTTAATTCCGCATTTACACCTAATCAGCCCCTCTAGGTGTAGTTAGATCGAATCTTTCATTTTCATGTGTATTTTCATCGTGGAGCTATGGGGCAAGAAATGTGTATCAGTTCATATTAAAACTAAATCAAACAGTGGATTCTTTCAAGTCTAGTACTCTTCATCCCTCATCCATGGATATTTACAAAATTGGTTGGATCTCAAATAATTGGATAACTGTGTGTAAAAATCATTGAGGCCTTTTACACAGAACTTGAATTTCCATATTATCTTTATGTGGGATTTCTCATTGCCACCACATGCATGTTGTATTCCGGGTAAATACTTATTTGCATTCTAAAGCCGGATATCCTTGAGGATGATGATTGAGTGAATGACATTCATGTGTAAAGGATACGAACTATGGACTACAAAGATTGTGTAATTCTTCTTTAAAAAAAAATTGTTCTTACAAGCGAATGCAACTTGAGACATAGTTGAAATACTTCAATAAACAAACATCGAGCTGTTAAATGCAGTTTGCCGAAGGGAGGCCAATTGTTTTCAAAGGTATTTCCGAATAATATTGAATTATTATTGTATTGGCGCACATATACGAATTGATATTTGATTGAACATTGCTCAATACTTAAAATGGTTTACTGAACTTTTAAGTTCAAGACTTGTGGATTTAGTATTACTATTTGCGCATACATTCCTATTGTGGAGGGTAACTTATTTACAAATTATATTATAAGAAAGCCCTTATACTAATTATAAGGAGGTTCACAAATATGATGCACACTAAGTTGAAAGTGGATAAATGGGATGAAAGTTGATTATTGCATTTATTGGATATGCAATAATAATTGTTGGAATGTTTGAAGACTATTCGAAATGATAAACCACACTGTAGTAAAAACCTTGTTGAACTTTAGATGTGCACCTATCTAAGGCAATGATTCAAAATTTAATAGTAAATGTATTTTACTAATGACAGTGTAGTTATTTCATGAAAATCCTCAATACAATGTGAGAATTGAAAGAAATTAGAGCTTTCAATAAAGTTAGAAGGAAACATGTTGGCTTCAAAAATTTTGGAAGGGTTTTCTAATTGGTGACAACTTGTGCATGTTATATCATTTGGTTGAGATAGCTAACTACAAATGAAATGGTACAAAATATCGTGTATAATGGTAAGTTTCGACATATACGTCATAGACATAATATTGTTCGATAGTTGCTCTCAAATAGAACAATACTGATTGTTTTATCGAAAAATAAAATATCGGATCCGTTTATAAATAGATTATCTGAAGAGAATATAATAAGCATCAAGTGAAATGGGTGTAAAGCCTAAACTAATGGGTCAACTTCATGGAAACCTAACCTAACGACTAGAGATCTCACGAGCTAGGTTCAATAGGAAAATTAGTTATGATTGACTAGATGAGAAGCACTTCGGAATTTTAATTCCTCCTTATTTATATGATGCAAATAAGTGCTCCCTACTAGATTGGTTAGAACAAGCTATACTTTTAAGAATGAATATATCATGTAAACAGTAAGTGAAGCGTAGGGTGCTCTTTATAGAATATCATCTATATGAGTGCAAACTTGGCCGGTTCTATGAGGATTTTACTTTGGCAAATTCTTTAGTGCACTTCTAGAACCAAAAAGGTTCAAAGCCGAAATAATGAAGAAAACCAAAGTTTGATATGAAAGATAGTGTATTCAATCTATTTTATAGGTTTACAATAACATTCGAAAGTTCAAAATGTTACGTTCTTTGATTAGTCAGTAAGTCCAATAGATTCTTAATAGGGAAAGTTCAAAGTGAAAGCTACCAATCCTGATGCATTATATTTCAGTTGTATTCTTTTACGTCTTTCTTGTTTTGAGTTAACTTTTTCCATTTATGTGGGGGATTGTTGAAATTTTGGATAATAAAAAGATTAAAATGTGCGAATTGGGAAAAAGTCTCCAATGGGTCTAACGATTGGTGTGACTCTTCAAATGCAAAATATACATAGCGAAAAGTCATGACCTTTTATTAAGGTGCAATATAGGCCATCAAATTTGAAATGGTGTGATATAATGGTTAAAATTAATTTTACCAAAAGATGCAACCATTAGAAAGTGACATAAAAATCTATAAATAGGACTCTCATAATTCCATTTTCTTCACTTCGGATCAATTCCTAATAATTGATTCCTAATTTTTTCTTTCTCTAAATTCTGTCAAAATAATTTCCATATTATTTTGAGTTTCGTATTCAATATCTTCCATTTTAGAAAAGTAGAATCAAGTATTAATTCGCCTGTCAAAATTAATAGTGTGCTATATTAATTTTGGAAGAAATGTTGTGTCTTGGGAGAAACGTTCATTTGATCATGTTAACACTAGTGCAGGGGGAGAAATCCGTTTTAAGAAAATTTGCATTCACATACCTTGCTTCATTCATCTCCTTCTATTTTTCTACATTTGAATAAGTCGTGATTTGTTTATTATTATGCACGTACCATGATTTCGTTAAGTCGTTATTCTATCTATATTTGCGTGCATATATTTTTGTTAATGAAATATAATTTTTACACTAATTTATCCAACATATTTAGGGCAAAAAAGTCTAAGTGCATATTTGGTTCACAATATTATGTTAGCTATCTCGTCGATCTCTACCAAACATGTTTTTAATTAATTCATAAAAAACACTATCCAGATTCAAAATTAGTAAAAGAGTGTACATGAAAAAGAAAGTCCTGTAGAAGAAGATGGCCTAAAGAGAGAGTTTTCCCTTAAAGGCTGAAAAGAAATATACCTTTGAAGAAACCTTGACATACACTTGCTGTCATCTCCAAAGTTAAAGTCCCTATTCTTGATGTTTTTAGGGCAATTATTCACGTACATCTCGACCACAAACATCGCAACATTAACCACAACAAACATTGGAATCAGCCATGATGTTCATTGGGTTTCTCTCTCTCTCTCTATGGCACCCACTGGCATGGCTTCTTGGATTTTGGGGTGGGGGATTACGGTATTAACATAGGTGAGAACGTACACGGTGTGGAGATAAAATAAAAATAAAAAATAACTCATAACAATGGGGTTTTGTTTGCTTTTGTTTTCGCAGTTACTAAGAAAAAAAGGGTTGGAACTTTCCAAAAATTGTTATGTTTTAAGAAATAATTATCCACAGTTTAGCTTAAAATTTAGTAACGTCTAGCCTTCTTCTAAAACTCGTTTTTTCTCAAATTTATTTTTAATTACACATTTTATGGGACCCACAACTTCTATCAACTTTTCAACCACACATTTCGTTATTTTTTATCAAAATCTACTAAAAATGACTTAGTGTGTGATTGGGTGGCCTCGAAGATTATTTATAGTAGATAATATGGATTGTGCAAGTGTTAATTTTTTGAGATAGCTATTAACCCATTAAGCAATAAATTATCTTTGTTTGTTGATACTAGGTTTGAGATCATGACAATATTTGAGTGTGCTCTAATTACCAGCATGCGAATAACGACCAAGCTTTTATATCAAGATGGATTGTTCAACATCATAATATTTCAATTTATTCGCCTTTGGCTAGTTACGTTAGTCAATTACTGGATTTGAGCAGTTACCTCATATATTGTGTCGACTAATTGAATAATAAAAAATCCTTTCATGGCTTTTTTGCCACATCAACTTATTAAATATTAATTTTGTCACATGGTAATTTATTTGTACCGAATATCCCTTTAATAATTGATATACTAGTGTTTCTATTAAGAAAAGGAATAAACCATATGTACAGAAAAAAATTTCACAGATGTTTTACACCCACTCAAATGTGTGGGGCCCATCGGGAAAAAAAAATCCACCACCTCCTGCATTTGTGAGTGTTTGTGAAACCAACCAACCTCATCCCCTTCTGTAAGTGTAGCATTGTTCTTAAGACAATCAGCAATTCCCCTTGACAGAAAATTGCTGCCATAATTTTTACAGAAGCATCTATTTGGTCTGTTTTCCTTTTATTTTTGTCATTGTTCAGTAGAAAA